GAGTGACACAGTAACTAATAGTTATATAACAGTTATGTGCTTGTCAAAGTTACATAATAGTCTCGGTAATTTATGCTTAATTTTAGGTAGTATATCCAATAAATAATAAATACAATGCATACGTATAAGTTTTAATTTTATTGAAATAAAAGTTTATATTAAATGTTTCATGCCTTATATGAACCACAATAAAAGTTATTCAATATTTGACACCGTTATTATCAATGGCTTGTATTGCCAACACTTCATAAAGTTATATTTTCACTTTGTCGACGAAACATAAAACCCGAAAAAAAGAAAGAAGATATTAATGAAAATACGAAAAAGCAGCATGAAAAAGGAACATATTAACTGGTACTTATTTATACCAGTTCCAAGCCACACGAGGTTCAAATCTCAATCCTGACTTCATTTAACTTTCGTTGACAAAACATAAAACCCGAAAAAGAGAAAGAAGGTATTAATGAAAATACGAAAAGCAGCAAGAAAAAGGAATATATTAACTGGTACTTATTTATACCAGTTCCAAGCCACACGAAGTTCAGATCTCAATCCCGACTTCAATTGACGAAACATAAAACCCAAAAAAGAGAAAGAAGGTATTAATGAAAATACGAAAAAGCAGCAAGAAAAAGAAACATATTAACTGGTACTTATTTATACCAGTTCCAAGCCACACGAGGTTCAAATCTCAATCCCGACTTCCATTTAACCTTCATTGACGAAACATAAAACCCACAAAAGAAAAAGAAGGTATTAATGAACATACGAAAAAGCAGCAAGAAAAAGGAACATATTAACTGGTACTTATTTATACCAGTTCCAAGCCACACGAGGTTCAGATCTCAATTCCAACTTCATTTAACCTTCGTCAACGAAACATAAAACCTGAAAAAAAGAAAGAAGGTATTAATGAAAATACGAAAAAGCAGCATGAAAAAGAAACATATTAACTGGTAGATCAGCAACCTTAATTTGGACTACAAATAACCAGAGTTTATATATTATCTTATTTCAGGTCACGTGGCACGTAATTATGTTAATTCGATTTGATCAACGTAAACATCAAACAATGGTAATATGACGAAATTCGATCAAAGTTTAATTTATTTTTTTATAAGGGTTTTGATTACTAATCGATATTTTCTCTTTTTATTCTTACTCAAAAAATACGTGAAATCACGGGGACAAGAAAATGCGACAAACAATTTGTATTACGAAATTTAGAGTCAAGTGAAGTAATTGAAGTTAAGAATTCAAAGCATATATTTGGACCAGAACTTGAGCATGCATTTAGAGAGAGTATGCACTTACAGAGGGCACCTCCTGCACCTATCAATCTTCATTTTATACAACAGTATGGTAGGGTGTTCGATGCACTATGTATTGTATATATAGTCTAATAGTGGAATTTTCGTGTAATGATTATTGTTATTAAAGAGCTAAATTTTGACAATTTATTCATTTTTTTTGCTCTTTTTGTATGTATAAAATACGTATACGTAGGGTCTGATGAGCAATTAAGTAAGATTTTTAAAGTTAATTTTAACTTATTAAAATAATATGTAAAATTATGCAATGAATATTTTTGTCAAGACATGGAAGACAGTTTAAAGCATTTTTTTATAGATAATTCATTAAACAAAATTGTCTACTCAAACATTCATGTAGGACTATATATACATCGATGGCATTTATGTATTACGGTATAACATTAGTTACTGTGCTACTCAGTCATTATACCTACGTATTTTTTGTCAAAATTACGGGATACAATTTTTTGTGGGTGTACTAATAAGGATTTATTTTATGATAATTTCGATTTATCGTTTTACAAAAAATCGTTACGCATAATTTTTATAGCGGGTATAAGATCTGATACTGTATATGTGAGTGAGTTTAACTACGTAACAATGAAACCTGTCATCACGTTAAAACTTATTAGAAAATAACTAATTTTAGTGATGTAAATTACCTCTAATTTTTAGGATCAAGATGCAATTTTAATACGCATGAAATAGAGGTTTATATAACATAATAAAAATTTGATTTAAAGGCTCAAATTTTAATTACTTAATACATTTTAGAGATATAGCACCCTGGTGATTTAACCAGGAGCAAGTTAGCAATATCCTTTTTATTATTATTATTTTTTTCTTAACAATTGCTTTTTCAATTTTTTTTTATTTGTATTTTATTTATTATTTTCTAGTAGCTTTTGTGGTCTTCCACGTTTCTTTGGACGAGCTTCTTCCCTGTTATCGTTATCCTAAGCAATGTTTGTTGGCTCCAACACCAGGTTTTTAGATCATCTACGTTTTTTGGGATGCTGACTTCTCCTGTGAGTGGTGACCATCAATGCTGTTGGAAAATATTTGTTACATTCCACATAACAAAGTCATGTATAATTGTCTTTGCCGATTGAGAAACAATCGGCGTCATAGCCTAGTATCTTATTTTTGTTGAAAAAGTTAAACAAATATATGAAATTGATATAGTGTCCATCTATGCCCATTATTACTAGAGGAAGAAACCCATCAATTTCCTCGAGAAAATCAACGACATCTTTGCATCACACTGGAGGGCAACACGAAATGTTTTTGCATTTTCTTAGATTTAAAGAATAGTTGTATATTTTGGCATAAACTTCTAGCTACTCCCAAGGCACAGTAGTTTCATCGTTGGATCCTGGAAACTTGATGGAGAATAGGAAGCTGTTGGTTTCAACATACTCTGTTATGACCAGCTTTTCAAATAACGGGTCCCGGTTCCAAAAATTACACAACAACTCTCCTGCATATCTGAAATTTCTTTTTGCGAGTTCCTTATCAATAACTTGGCCTTGGGAGTTTAAGTGGGAGCCATAGGTATTCACTGGCAACACTACGCCCGCAAGTTTTTGGGATAATGATGCCATACCTTGTTCTACAGAGTTATATTTGAATTGACCTGGAATAATTAAAATTAATATTTAGATAACTAGTTGCAGTAATTAAGACTATACAAAATTAATTACAGTCAGATCTCTCCAAATGCACCCCATAGAGACCAAATTTCTATTTAGAATTACTATTTTGGTCAGAAATATAATTATACGAACACTAACCTGGAGCATGTGTCTAAACGGTTAAATAGTTCAGGTCAAATATTTGAAATATTGTTGAGTATTGGACAATATTTTTTATATGCCTGGGATTTTCATCTGGGCCCCCATCAACAAGGAGTACCCAGATAGGTTTAACTTTATTTTCAATCTTTAGTATACCGTCCAGATGGCTATCTTCTACCAATGAATTTAAGTCGTATATGTGGGTTGTGGAACTTGTACCAACTCCATATTGGGGCGAATGAAGATTGAGAGTTGGCTTTTCCGGAGTTTAGTACTTATATCATTAGGGTTCATTATCAAGTACACTGATGAAATTAGTTTTTGCCACTCACCCACCAGGAAATCGTAATCAGGGACTGTAACGGGCTCTCCAATTGTTTGTATGGCTTTGAAGGTTCTATCGACTGCCAGGATGCCAAGAGGGACTTTGGTCTTATCATCCTGTGAAATGATGACCGAAAAATTTGAAAATAATAATACAAATAGTCTTGTTGCCTTTATGGAGGCAAGACAATAATATTCATCTGGGTGCTCAGTTTTATCAATTCTAGAAACTGATGAGACCGCGACATTTGCAGGATGATGATGGGCCTTGGCTGCTATCGAGTTTGAACGTGATGGCAAGAGATAATTTTTCACAGTTGTTCTAGATATATATTCACTATATATATTATTAAGTTTTTCTGCAAGATGGCCAACTGTTCTAACTTTTATCACCTCTCTTCTTCTTTTTTCATCTGCAGCCCCAAACTCAATACTCTCATGGATTTGATCAAGTAAATCGGGAAGTTTTTGTAATAAAGATGGACGGCCGGGTTTATCATAACAACTACCTGATTTTTTCTAAAAGTTTATTTCTAATAAGAACTAGAATAGTAAGTATTAGAATTTGAATTTAAATTTAAATTAATTATTGTTAGGCCACGCAAAGTTGATTTTTCGTTTTGCATTACATGGATTTCAAAATTCAGGACGGACAGACAGATTTTTTTTTTTTAATTTGTTATAAATTAATAGTCTTATGTTGCATTTAAGGCTATACGAAGTTGATTTTACGCTTTGGATAACACGAATCAGAAATTTGTATGTTGGCAGTCAGATTTTTCTATAGGTCTTATTGGGCAATTCCGAAAAACTAGTCTCCACTGGATGATACTGGATAATTTATGGGAAAAAATTAAATAGCAAAAATAGAATAATTGGGGCAATTGGAAATTAAAAAAAAAAAAAAAAAATTGAAAAAATTGAAAAATGAGATGGCTGGTAATGTAAAATAAAAATTTAACTTTGCGTGGCCTTGTTAATATTAATAATAACCTTTTTTCACACTATTATGTTTATACTCTGCTTGCTTTTGTAGATGGTTAATTCTCTTATTTTCTGTATAGATAACTTGTTTGTGTTCTTGTATATCATTCATTAAGTTAATTCAATCCTTTAAGCTATTCGTTAAGTTATAGGCTCTTTGACATTCAGTGATCTTTTTATTTGTATTATTAATAATTTCTACAGCTCGCTTTTGTGCTACTGCGTTTGGTGGAGGTGAATCAGGAACAATGATTTCCTCGATTATTCGTAGCAGTATGACAGGAGCAGTACTAAGGTTATGGATTGGCTGAATGGTATCAATATCAGTAGAACTAAGGTTATAGATAGGTTGAGTTATATTGATATCAGTAGTATTAAGGCTATGAGGTGGCTGAATAATATCAGTGTTGGCAAGATTAAGGCTATAAGTTGTCAAGATGTTGGTATTGGCTGCATTAAGGTTATGAATAGTGTTGATGTTGGTTAGGGTGTTGGTGTTAGCGGTATTGGCTGCATTAAGGTCCTGAGTAAGGCTATTAGTGGTTAGGATATTGGTGTTAGCAGTATTAACTGCATTAAGGTTATGAGCGGTATTGATGTTGGTAGCATTAAGAATATAAGTAGCAGTGTTGAGGTTGGCGGCACTAGTGTTGGAGTCTTGGACAGTAGGTATCACGAGAGTAAGAATTTCGATGATGTTCTCGATTTTGTGTGCTGGTTTGTTTTTAATTTCTTTCCACTTATTATTACACTTGTTACACAATAACTCCTTCTTATATTTTGGATTTTTAGTAATTACTATTCGATTATATGCATAGACATTACAAAACCTTTGATACAGGTTTGTAGGTAATTTATAAATATAGTTTAGAGTCACTATATTATTTGGGGCAACACCAAGGCTATAGGCAATGTTGATATCGGTAGCACTAAGGCTATAAGAAGGCTTAATGATATCGGTGTCAGCAATATTAAGGGTTTGAGTGTTGGTATTAGTATTAACTGCATTAAGGTTATGAGCGGTATTGATGTTAGTAGCATTAAGAATATGAGTAGCAGTGTTGAGGTTAGTGGTAGGTATCATGGTAGTAAGAATGTCGATAATGTTCTCAATTTCATGTGTCGTTTTGTTTTTAATTTCTTTCCACTCATTATTACACTCATTACACAATAACTCCTTCTTATATTTTGGATTTTTAGTAATTACTATTCAATTATACGTATAGGCATTACAAAATCTTTAATACAGGTTTGTAGGTGATTTATAAATATAGTTTAGAGTCACTATATTATTTGGGGCAACACCAAGGCTATAGGCGATGTTGATATTGGTAGCACTGAGGCTATAAGAAGGCTGAATGATATCGGTGTCGGCAATATTAAGGGTTTGAGTATTGGTGTTAGTATTAACTGTATTAAGGTTATGAGCGGTATTGATGTTGGTAGCATTAAGGATATGAGTAGCAGTGTTGGGGTTGGCTGCACTAATGTTGGAGTCTTGGACAATAGGTATCACAGTAGTAAGAATGTCGATGATGTTCTCGATTTCATGTATTGTTTTGTTTTTAATTTCTTTCCACTTATTATTATACTCGTTACACAATAACTCCTTCTTATATTTTGGATTTTTAGTAATTACTATTCAATTATACGCGTAGGCTACAAAACCTTTGATACAGGTTTGTAGGTGATTTATAAATATAATTTAGAGTGTTTGAGCTAGTTTGTATATTGGAAAAAACGAATTAATATGGAAAAGACGAATTAAAAAAAAAAGAAAAATTTATATGGATAAGATAAAAGAAAAGAAGCAGAATATTATTATTTAATATTGGAAAAGACGAATTAAAAAAAAAAGCAAAATATGAGAAAAAAGAATTTAATATGACAAGAAAAAGGTAATATAAGAAACGAAATATTATTATTTGAAGTCAATAGAAAGAGCATATTTCAAGGCATATTTATAGCAGATAAGCAATATACTTAACAATTGACCATGTGCTTTTGTTAGTTATTTGCATTAGAATTTGTGCAAATATAAGGTGATTCTATCTGTTTAAGTGTAGAAGGTAGTTATACTAATATCCAGTTTGTGTTTGCGCGTCTAATTCTGTACATCATCCTTTATTACAGTTCTAATTTTAAACATTATTGACAATTACAGATAAAAGATACTTAAAAATTACGCTTAATATGTCTGGAGAAAATTTTACTCCATCTTTTAGTTAAGACTATATTTTATATAATTTTCTCTTAACAGTTAACAGGCAGGATAATGCAAATTTTACATTTGATGCGATGTGTGAAGTTTTATCTTAATAACCTGTCTTTTATTTAATATTTAATGAGATGTAAGATACTGCTGATTTTTACATTCTTAAGTTGCCACATTTATTTTAACTTAATTTTCTTAATAGTTTAATTGACGGGTATCACCAATTTTATAGGGAAAATTTATCAAGTACCACTTATTATTTTTTGTACAATTTAATTCTTAATATTTTTTTAAATTGCTTAATAGTTTAAAGAACAGGGGAATGGTGCCAATTTTACATCTGATGTGTCCTGGAGGAATTAAAATTTTATCAATTAATATTCTCTTAAATTTCTTAATAGTTTAAAGAACAGGGGAATGGCGCCAATTTTACATCCGATGCATCCTGGAGGAATTAAAATTTTATCAATTAATATTCTCTTAAATTTCTTAATAGTTTAAAGAACAGGGGAATGCCACCAATTTTCTATCTGATGTGCCCTGGAGGAATTAAAAATTTATCAATTTAACAGACAGGGATATGAAATTTAAATATTTGAATAGCGAGGGATACTTAACCAAAAAGGGAATAGCCACTAAGTTTCTATACATAATCTTAGCTAATTCTTCCTTTTAGGGTTTTGCATTATAATACAAAAATAAGTAAAATCGATATTGCCACATTGATTTTGTTCTAACTTTCTATGACAGGAATGACAATGTCAACACGCATCATTAAAAAATAGAACTAATTCTGG